TTCAGAACTTGTACATAGACCAAGAGGCAGTCGCTTGAACAGAACAAGGGGATATTATGTGGTTTAAAATCAGGAAAGGTGTGCATCAGGGTTGTACCCTTTCACCATACTTATTCAATCTATCTGTCTCTTCTGACATCCATTTTGGTCTTTTCTTTCTTTCCTGTCTTTTTAATGACTTTTTGCTTTCTTCATGTATGATAACACGATGTTCTTGATGTCATCCTACAACTCGTCTGGTCTTCAGACATTAGTGTTCAATGCGTCAAATCTATTCTTGAGGAAGTCTCCAGATTCAATGGGTTATACTCAAGGTTGTATTTTGGCTCTTGTGGACTTGTTCTAATTTTCTTTAGCTTCAACTTTGAACTTGTATATGACAGTTGATGGCCTGTTCATATCAGGAGGCACCAGCCCTGGAGAAGGACATCATCCTTGGTAAGGTACATGGTCATCAAAAAAGAGGAAGACCTTGAACGAGATGGGTTGACACAGTGACTGCAACAATGGGCTCAAACATAGCAACAATTGTGAGGATGGTGCAGGACCGGGCAGTGTTTCGTTCTGTTGCACGTAAGGTCATTTTACCTGTGTGTGTGTGCATGTGTGTAGAGACAGAGAGAAAAATACAAGATTTTGTTTTGCTTTTCTTTTAACATAAATCATTTTGTACTTACTGTGTAACATATCTTAATAGTAAGTCTTGGACTGTTTTTATGACTGTTCTACTTCATTCTTTTTCTTGTTGTTGTTCTTAGATGCCGTCAAGCTGGTTCCGATTCATAGCGATCCCATGAATAACAGAATGAAAAACACTGCCCAGTCCTGCACCATCCTCACAATCGTTGTTATGTTTGAGCCCATTGTTGCAGTCACTGTGTAATCCATCTCATTGAAGGTCTTCCTTTTTTTTGCTGACCCTCTACTTTATCAAGCATGATGTTCTCCAGGGACTGGTCTCTCCTGATGACATGTCCAAAGTACGTGAGACGAAGTCACACCATCCTTGCTTCTAAGGAACATTCTGGCTGTATTTCTTCCAAGACAGATTTGTTCATTTTTCTAGCAGTCCATGGTATATTCAGTATTCTTTGCCAGCACCATAATTCAAAGTCATTAATTCTTCTTCGGTCTTTTTTATTCATTGTCCAGCTTTTATATGCATATGAGGCGACTGAAAATACGATGGCACACCTTAGTCCTCAAAGTGACATCTTTGCTTTTTAACACTTCAAGAGATCTTTTGCAGCAGATCTGCCCAATGCAACATGCAGTTTAACTTCTTGACCACTGCTTCCATAGGCACTGATTTGCGGATCCAAGTAAAAGGAAATCCTTGACAAACTTCAATATTTTCTCCCTTTATCATGATGTTGCTTAGTGGTTCAGTTGTGAGGATTTTTGTTTTCTTTATGTTGAGGTGTAATTCATACTGAAGGCTGTAGTCTTTGATATTCATCAGTAAGTGCTTTGAGTCCTCTTTGCTTTCAGCAAGAAAAGTTGTATCATCTGTATATCATAGGTTGTTAATGAGTCTTCCTCCAATCCTGATGCCACATTCTTCTTCATATAGTCTGACTTCTCAGATTATTTGCTCAGCATACAGATTGAATAAGTATGGTGAAAGGATACAACCCTGATGCACACCTTTCCTGATTTCAAACCACACAGTATCTGAAGAGGGACAATTTCTAGAAAAAATATCTGTCTGTACATTAGTATGGTTTTACACAGGGCTTATATACAAAACAGAATTTGTGTCTGTCTCATTCAGTTAATGCTGACATGACCTGAGGTCTGGACTGCTTATCACACATAGATACATCTTTTTCCTGCTAACCCCCCACACCGACCCCAGGGTTTTGAGTCCACAATAGAAGTGGGGGGTGGGGCACTTGCGCCTGGTCCAGAGTCAACCTTTGTAACCATCACTCCAGCTTCTTTAGCAATTGGTGACAAAATTTCCTCAATGTCTCATTTTACTAAGCAATTTCTCACATTTGAAAAATAATTTGCTTAGTTCAAAATAAAGCTTCAAATGAAGTTTCTATGCATTTGTATGAGAGAGCAAGAGACAGAGATAGGGAGGGCAGCCAACCAGGCAGCCAGCCAGAGACTGACCTGGAGGAACAGGAAAGGATTTTTAAAGTGCCCATAATATGTTCAAATATTCTCCTTCCTAAAACAGTAACAACAACAAAATTTCTCCAGGTCTTAATTCCTTCTCTACACAACATCCAGTCTCTCCCTTCTTCTTCACATCTGAACTTCTCCAAACCACAGACTTTACTCTCTTTCCAGCCTCCTACTCACTCTCCTACTCAGTGCAGTCTAGATTCTGCCTCCTACTGTTTCACTCAAACAACTCTCAGTGAAATCTGTCAATCCAAAAGACATTTTCAAGTGTCTTGATACTGTCAGTGTGAACCACATGAAATTGCTAATATTTGACCAACCTTGACCTGCACAAATGGTCCAACCTAATAGGTCTGTTTGCTGAATTTGACATTGCTGATCTCTTTCATATTTTTAAAAACTTCTTCCTCCTGGACTGCTGTAGTAGGCCGTGGTCAGGCTGCTAGAGACCCAGTGATACAGTGTGAAGTACAATGTGAAAGTAGGTACTCTTGATGCTGCAGGAAACGCCTAATGGTAGTAGGCTGACCCTTGACTACTGACATGGTCCTCTCCCAGCCTGATGGTATAAAGCCAGACATTTGGAGCTTCTTTGGCCTGGTCCATTCCTCACTCTATTCAGACCATGTTGCCCCAAACTTAAGGCACAACTCCACAAGTAACAAAGGAAGTCCTGGGACCCATGTTAAATAAACCCCTGTTTATGTCCTTTTCTTGTCTATATCCTATGCATTGTTTGCTGGCTGGTTTGGTAGTAATGAAGTAAAAGCAACATCTTCTCTTTAAGAGAGGAAAGGGTTGCATTTTAAAAAACAATGTTATTTTATATGTCAATTTTAAGATGAGCATGTAATTAAGTTAATACTTCAAACATTATAAGTAGACATTTGATTACTTCATCTACATCCCTAAATTTTCACATATTTAAGTTGGCCAAAACAAAAAAATACTTGTAGGGGGTCTTCTCCTTGGGAAAATACGTTTTTCCCAAATCTTGTGTATTGATGTTTGTATATTGATCTTAAATCCTAAAACCTAGCTGAACTCCTTTATTAGTTCTATTGGTTTTTTAGTGGATTCCTTAAGATTCTCTGTATGCTATATCATGTTACCTGCACACAGAGATAGTTTTACTATCACCTGGCAATCTACTTCCAAAAATCAGCCAGTGAAAACTCTAAGGATCACAACAGTCTGACTCTGTTGTACATGGGGTTGCCATGAGTTGGGGGCTGACTCAACGGCAGCTAACAATAACAACAACAAAATTTCTGGGCATGCAGTTGTTTACAGCATTCCTTTATGATTATTTTTATTTCCGTATGGTTAGTACTAATGTTCCCTCTTTCACTTCTGACTCCAGAAAGAAAGGCCTGGGCCCTCCCCTGTTGGGAAAAAAAGAGATCAGAACTGACCCCACGGGCACCAACAACAAACTGCCAATAGATAGGCCTGCTCCTCACCAGCCCCTGGGGCATGAGAGTGGGGCTCTGCCTTCAAACCAGTCTGTACCACTGGATGCCCAACTCTTGATTTGTGTGTTTGTTACACAGGTGTGTTCACTGAACTGTACATTTATGATTTGGGTACTTTTCTGTATGTACTTTATGCTCCATCAAAAAAATTTTAAGAGTCATTCTCTCTTTTTCTCTCACAATTATTACAGGCCTAGGAGAGTAATCATAACCAATTTGCAAAAGTGATATGCTCTTGAACTTACTGCTTTTAATCTTTTATTTTCCATGAGCAAAAGTTCTGCTTTTTGGTCATGTGCATAGATTTCATTTTCTAAGTTCTTTAGAATTTCAAAATGATTTTTGATTTTAATGCTTTCTTGATCTCGTAAATATTTTACTTCTTGCTTCAGTTTATCCTGTTCAAACATAAAATCCATAATTAGCCCATAGAGTTCAACAAACAGGGCACCAACTAGCAGGTCTAGGTTTCCTGGACCACATTCAGAGAGGGCTTTTAACTAATTCCTGAAGCATCTGGCAGAGGCTATGGACATCTTCCCTCAGAAAATTTTTATATTAAACCCCAAAGCTGATTTATGGATAATTATTCATGAACTCTGGGAAAGGGGTCCACGAATTCCAAGTTAAGGACTCAAACACTGATACAACTTCACAACAGAACATACTTTGGTGTACAAACAACTGTCCAGCAAAACAGGATGAAAGGAGAAAATTTATTGAGACTTTTAAAGGGAGGATCTAATATTTCTTGAAGGAAGAAGAATATTACTTTAAGAATTTTTCAGAATTCTCTACTGAGCTATTCAGTTCTCAGTTATCATACTGTCATAAATCACATGATCTTTCTTTGTTGTATAATCATGAGTAGCCTCTTATTAATAGAACTGTATGTGTATTATACTTGCAGTTTTTCTTTCCTATTTCTCTACACCCATAACATATTAAAAGTTACCTTTGATATCAGTGCCTCTCAAAGAATAGGACGTTTCCATTTTTAATTAACCAACTCCATATACGTGTGCTTAACATTAACTATTGATTACAAATTTTAAAAAGGTAGTAAATACTTCTTTACCAGCTCCTACTTTGTCCATCTCCCCCCCTGCAACATCTGCCTACTTGTCCTTGTCTCCACAGAAATTTAACAGAAGCAAAGATCTGAAAAGAACCTTTAAAAGCATAATCCAATCTCTTTGCTTTATAAAAAAAGAAACCAAGGACCCCTAAATTAAGAAAGTTTCCCATAGATACATGTTAGTCAACTCCAGAGTCGACATCTACACACACACATATATACACATGTACATACATATATGCAGATATATGTATATATGCATGTGTGCATATATATTCATTTATATAAGAGGGTAAGCCAAAAAGTATTACTACTGGGGTTCTAGTTCATATATGCACAGGCTTATTCCAAATAAAACGTGTTTAAACATGTCTCTTTTATCAGCGGATGGCTGCAGACAAACTGTCTCAGTAATACACTTGTCTTAGTCTCGTTACGGTGCCTTAAAAAAAAAAAAAAAGATCCTTTTTGCGCTGTGGAAAAAAATAATTTTGAGGTCAGGGCCAATATCAAAATTTTTAACAAAACCCAAATGGACAACTTCTCAAATTATTGAAGCTTTGCAACAAGTTTACGGGAATGCTGCCCCACATAAAGCAACAGATTTTAGATGGATAAAGCATTTTAAGGAAGGTCGGGAGGACCTCAAAGATGAGCCAAGAGAGGAAAGACTGCTCAGAAGGTTATGGAGACTGTTATTCGGGATTCCAAAGGCGTAATCTTGATACATTTTCTTGAAGGACACAGGATGATCACAGGGGCTTATTATGAGGAAGTTTTAAGAAAACTGAAAACTGCAAGGTGAGATAAAGGCCAGGAAAACTGCGCGGAGGGATTTTTTTTCCATCATGACAATGCACCTGCTCATTCTTCGAGGGTTTGCAAGGGCTGTCCTACGAGAATTTCATTGGGAAACCTAACCCCATCCACCCTGGAGCCCTGATCTTGTCCCTTAAGACCTCTTTTTGTTCTCAAAATCAAAGAACATTTAAAAGGAACATGATTTGAGTCCCTTGGGGATGCCAAAACTACCATTTTGTTGAGGTATAAATTGAAGAGCGCAGAATTCTTTGAGGAAGGCTTACAGAGATGGAAACACCGTCTTCAGAAGTGTATAGACCTGCATGGAGGATATGTCACATTTTGCTTCACATTTTGATATTTTTGTAGCAAAACTTGTTGACTTACTCTCATATACTAAAATTTTAAAATATTAGTATTAAAAGGGTAAGCTTAATAAAAGTGAATTTCCTAAAAACTCCAGTAGTGCCAGATAATTAAGGTACTACTGTCTGTATGTAACAGTATTCTAATCAAAGAAAGAAAAATAAATACATTGACCCTTTACCGTGTGGCGACTGTATCTTGAAAAATCTCTTGTCAACTGAGCAATGTTATTGTTTAGCAAAGTCTCCTCATACTTTTGTTCTATAAAAAAAAAAGAAAGTTCTTCAGTTAAAAAAATTAATCAGAGTAAGACATGCACCTAGTTTTAAAAGTCAAATACTATTACAAGACTTAGAACAAAAGTCAGCAGTCAGGTATCTGACCCCCCAAAAGCAACTGTTTTTTAACTCATTTAGATTTCTTTTGCCATTTACTCCCATTTTCTTAAAGTATGCTTATATGGCTATTTCTTGATTTGTCATTTTAACACGTTTTTGATTGACTTCCTAGTATAGTAGAAGAGGATTTAGCATGCTTGCTCCCATCAGCAGCTAACAACAACTTCTATCCTCCCTCCCACCACACACTGCCCTTCCACACACACACACACACACACACTCACAACCTCCATATTTCCTCCCTCTAACCACCCCATAAAGTTTGAGGTTTTATTTAAATCTATTTCAACTGTTTTGATCATTAAAACAATGTAAGTATTATTCACTGATGAGCTACATTTTCTTGTATAATTTTTTTGTTAAAAATGGCCTTTTTTTTTTTATTTCCTTAGTTTTCCATGTGTTGTAGGTGCCACCAAGTGGATTCCAACTCTTAAGGAAATGCTGCCCAGTCCTGCACCATACTCACAATCGTTATGTTTGAATCAATTGTTGCAGCCACTGTGTCAATCCACATTAATTCATAACAAAATCTGCAACGAATGTAAAATCTTTCTGAATACTATATCCCTCGTGGTCATCTACATTAGGTAATCTACTAGTATCATAAGGAGCCCTGGCGGTGCAGTGATTGCATGGACAGCTGCTAACCAAAAGTTTGGCGGTTTGAACTCACCAGCCACTCTGTGGGAGAAAGATGTGGCAGTCTGCTTCCGTAAAGATTACAACCTTGGAAACTCTATGGGATAGTTCTACTCTGTCCTAAGAGTCGCTGTGAGTTAGAATGAACTCAACAGCAATGGGTTTTTTGTTTCTGTTTTTGAAACTGGAAACTTAGGTTCTCCAGTTCTTGGCAATATTTCTGCATTGTTTCTTTGATAATTTCTTCCTTTTCATTTTTTTCTGTTCTCTTTTAATGGCCTTTCTGTTAGATATTCAACATCTCAGAATAGTCTTCATATTCTTACCCTTTTCTCCATCTCTCTCTCTCTTTTTTGTTCTATTTTTAGGGAGATTTCCTTAACTTTAATTTTAATCTTTTTATTGAATTAAAAAATTTTAGTTTTATACTATTAATTTCTAAGAGCTTTTTAGCTCTTTCTTGTTCTCTGATCTTTCTTTTAAGCATCTTTCCTTTTTTCATAGATGTAGTATTTTCATTCCCCTAAGAATATAGCTTTTAAAAGTATCCGTACGTCCTTTGAATTGTCTATATTTCCAACAAGTTCTCTTTTTTTCTGTGTGCTTTAGTTTCTGCCTTTCACACTGAGGTTTTTCTCACATGTTTAGTGACCTTTGGCAGTCCAATCCTATTGCAGAGTGAGGCACTAGAAGTTTTAGTTCCTGAGCAGGTTTCCTTGTACAGTGATCATGAAGGGAGCAGCCTCAGATGTCAATATCTGTGAGGTTTTCTCTGAAACTGTTGTTTCCTTAGAGAAGAATCCAACGATCTCCTTCTTTGCGAAGAAGGGGACGGAGAAATATAACACAGCTGTTGCCAGTATTCTCCAAGATAAGCAGTGGAAGGGATGAGGGGTCTCAGTACCAAAACTCTCTCCTGCCCTCAGCCATAGTTGATGTCCCACCATTTGAAACCCTCTGGTCCAATTCCTCTTCCAGCATTAGGAAGAGTAGTTACCCAGCTGCACAGAAGAGGGGATTTCCCCTGGGGGTCTGCTCTTTATAAAGATTTTCAGCCAATGTCTAGCCCATGACTCATCTCAGCCTTCAGAGCAGCAGGATGCTACAATGCCCACGACTTTCAAGGTTCTGTGGAAAAGAACTTCTTGCTTTTTTTTTTTTTTTTTAAACTGTCTTAAGGATGTTTATTTCCCTCCCCATTCATTTTATAATTGGTAATTAAGAACTGAACATCTTTTTAATAAAGACGATTTTCTTCTTTCCCTTCACTGACCCATATTCCCCAGGTGCAGAGGTGTTGAAGACAGGCAGGTGACCTGGGACCCAGGGTGAGCCAGCCCTCTGTCCCAGCTGGGTCCTCCTATGGGCAGTTGTCTGAGGCTTCCTTAATCCTCTTTCTCTTCAGTTTTGGTTTTTGAGGAAGTTTTCTTAAAGGACCTCTCCTGACATGGACCTGGGATCTTGGCTCCCCCAGCAGGGAGGCCTCTTGGCCCAGGGCCTGCATCTTGGACAGCCTCTCCTTCATGCAGCTGATGTTGCTGTGTAGCCCCCAGGCATTGCAGAGCTTGGGCAGACTATCTTCTTGGCCTGCCAGCAAGGAGCCCTCCAGTGTGTCCAAGGGGCAGAATGCCATCTGCAATGGGGCTACAGTATTGGGGCTACAGTATTTACCGTGTAGAGAAGAGAGTGGCCCTAATTCCAGAGCCCCAGCCTGCACTTGTGAGGGCACTGCTGCCTTCTGGCTGAACCTCACACCTGCCGAGCCCGAAGACAGAGTGAGAGACACAGACGTGGGAGATGACTTTGAGGCCAGGTTGCCAACTGAGTTTTCTTAGGTTGTCCTTTATTAAAGTTGGGAGTCTAAAAATTATTTTTAAAATTGTTCTGGCCAGTGAAATCCAGGAATCACTAAGGGCAGCCCCTCATATTCAGAGGAGGAATCACCGAAATGATCCAACTATTCATGTTCAGAGGAAGAAGCAGAGATCCAGAGACAGAGGATTTGGTTAAAGCTGCATAGCTAGAGCACTGGTATGGGGTTTTGGTTGTTATGTTGTTAGGTGCTGTCAAGTCGGTTCTGACTCATAGTGACTCTATGTATAACAGAATGAAACGCTGCCCGGTCCTTCCCCATCTCACAATCCTTGCTTTGTTTGAGCCCACTGTTGCAGCCACTGTGTCGATCCATCTTTTTTTTTTTTTTTCATTTGTTGTAGTTTAAGTGAAAGTTTACATTTCAAGTTAGTCTCTCATACAAAAACTTATACAAACATTATGTGATCCTAATTGCTCTCCCTATACTGTGACAGCACACTCCTCCTTTCCACCCCTGATTCCCGATGTCCATTCAACCAGCTCCTAACCCTCTCCACCTTCCCATCTCACCTCCAGACAGAACCTGCCCAACTAGTCTCATGTATCCACTTGAGGCAAGAAGCACACTTCTTACGAGCATTATTCTATGTCCCAGAGTCCAGTCCAATCTTTGTCTGAAGAGTTGGCCTCGGGAATGGTTTCAGTTCTGGGTTGACAGAGAAGCCGGAGGCCATGCTTTCTGGGGTTTCTCAAGTCTCAGTCAGACCATTTAGTCTGGTCTTTTTATTAGAATTTGAGTTCTGCACCCCACCTTTCTCCTGCTCCATCAGGGATTCTCTGTTGTGTTCCCTGTCAGGGCGGTTATTGGTGGTAGAACTTCTTGCTTTTATGGTGTCCTTTTCTGTGGGAACTTGCTATTCATATTCCTCTCCTGATAATGTCTCTATCCAATGTTAACCTTCCAAAAATGTGTTATTTACTATCTGCTGCTGTCTTCCCTGCCAATCTCTTTTCCTTGTGGGTTTATATCTTTTTCTTTTACACACATATGAAGTTTCATGACAGAGCAAAGATATATGCCTGTGTGTTATCCATTATATTTAACCAAAAGTCACAACGTTGTTCTTTATGTGCACTGAGCCCACATATTCCATTCTCTGTAAGTGTAGCTGCTGACAGGTATATTTTCCTACTTTCTGAAGAACATTGCTCTTGTGTTCTCTTTCCTTCCTTTCTCCTACTTTCTCCTCTTTTCTGTTTCTCCAGCGTTTTCTCTCTACCCTTCACCTGTGAGAATCAATACTTGTGATATATTGCTTACTTTTATATTCATAATGTTTCTTACATTCTCTATCTAGTGCAAGAAAGGGTAGGAGGAAACGTTCAGAAAGTAGAAAACTGGGATGAGAGTACGTATGAGAGTACATATGTATCTGGAGTCTGGGTAAAAGTAGTAAAAGACCAAGAAAACCTATTTAAGCTGTCTCAATGAAAACCTTACAAGAAGCCAGAAATCAACTGAGGAGTGGGAATCAGACCAACTACTCAGGTACTTATGCTTATAACATTCTTATATTCTTAAAAATCTACCATCCTTGGCAAAAATCACTGTTCACTTTTGAATGTTTGTGTATTTCACATTTGAACATACTGGGTTTCTATATGACTGCACCCACTGTTTTAACTTCTGTCCCCATATTCATCTTTGCTAGCCAGTTGTTCCACCCCAGTGGACATCTTTGTTCTTGTTCTAATTCTTTCTGTAAGTTCTGGTCCTGGTCTTCAAATTTCCATGGCACTTCTTTCATCATTTAGAATACAGAAGTTCTGGAAGGTGTTCCTGCTTAAAGTCCTGCAAAGACTCCTTGGATAATGATCTTCTACTCCCCAAAAGGCTCAAACTTTTAGGATGATTCTGGATGTGTGGACTTTGGACTTTGGGTGCAGACAAGGGTTGGATAGCCATATCTTTCTGGAGGACCATCAATTTACTCAAAAACTCTTGTGGGGAAAATCATTATTTTTATATTAAACACACACATGATTATGCTGTGTAATAGAGGAAAATATGCAAGCTTTCAGATACAGTTCACCTTCTCCACTAAGCCCCTAGATCTGAGATAAGCTCTTACCTACCTTTCCCTCAGGGGCAAGTTAGTGAAAAAATTCAACGAGTACCTACTTAATAAATGGTTAAAGTCATAGTTGGAAATAAGATATAATTTGCAAGTTCATGATAAGTAAGAAATAAAAGAAAAAAAATTCTTTACATGGTAGCAGATAAAGGAGTTGGTTCTACCTTTACCCAGTATGGAGACAAAGAAGATAAAGTAGTTGATACTAACTCTTAATTTTAAATAGATATTAAAAGAAAAAAAAATTGACAATAGCGATAATAAGATTGTGGTATAGAGGAGAGGACACTAATAGATGAGGCAAAAATTAGAGAATAAAGGGTGACAGGTAATGGGAAAAGTTGGATGAATTTCACCATTGCTTGTAGATTGATGACCTGCTTTGTGTTAGAAGACAGAGGTGAGATCCTCACCTGGGGCTGAGGTCAATTACTATGTACTTCATATGTACCTGTAAGAATATTTACAAGCTCTTCACACCTTCTATGTTTTTCCAGAAATGCTTCTTCTGCCACTTGAAGTTGTGGAAGACACTCAACTAGCTCTTCTTCCTTTTCTTTGTTAATTTTTACTTCCTTGACAAATTTAACCTTTAAAGAAAATAAAATTAATTGTCAAGTATTTTTTTGAAGAGTTTATAAAACACTCTAGAGAAGAATGTGAGTTCTTTGAGAGGGAGAGCTTTCTGTCTTGTTCTTCTCTCCTGAGATACACAGAAAGGTGTCAGGCACATAAAACAAACAAAAAAAACCCCAGCTGCTGTGGAGTCAATTCTGACTCATGGTAACTGTATGTGTGTCAAGAGTAGAACTGTGCTTTATAGGGTTTTCAATGGTTGATTTTTTTGGAAGTAGATTGCCAAGCCTTTCTTCTGAGGCACCTCTAGGTAGACTCGAACTGCTAACCTTTTACTTTATAGCCAAGAACTTAATCATCTGTACCACTTACGGACTCCATCTGGCACATACTAGGTGGTTAATAAATATTTGTTGGCTGACTCATTGATTCTCTAGAAATATTTAGGCAAGGAGATTACGTTCAAGTGGCTCTCCAGAGATCTTTTCTGCCCATATAATTCTACTGTTATTATTTTATTAGTGTTACCATATATACAGCCCAAAAACATGTTTGAGAGAATTGCCTTTGGTTGATCACATTTTATGGAAAAACAGGCCGCAAAACAGAATACACACAAGTTCTAAGAAATGTGGATGCAAATAAGAAATGGGGAAGTGGTAGAAATAATTGGATATAATGTCACAATAAATAGGTAAAAAGTACCTAAAGCAAAACATGAAGATGCCTGCTTAATTGCTCAACTCAAGTTTCATTTAATTTCAAATGGAAACTTTTAAAAAATCAGGATGTGTTTAAAATAGTGACTAAGGCAGAGAGAGCCAGCTGACATTCAATGTCCATTCTCCCCTTCTTTGATACTTGAACTCCTGAGTTTTAGCTGAACATATGGCTGTCAACTAGAGACTCATTTCTCAGACTGTCTTGCAGCTAGGTATATCCAGTGAGTTTATGAGCAGAAGTGATGTGTGCCACTTCTGGGTCCTGCCCCTGCAACAGGAACGGATATGTGCTTCTTTGGCCCTTTTCTCCTTCACCTGACTGGAAGAGGATGAGAATACAATCTGCCACTTGGTCCCCAAGATGGCAGCAACAATATGAGGATGGCATAGCCACCTACCAGCCCTGGACCTATTATCTCTCGCCTGTACTGGAAACAGAAATAAACACCACTCTTGCTGTAACTCGCCTGCTAACCAAAAGACTGGCAGTTCAAATCCACCAGCCACTGCTTGGAAACCCCATGGGGCAATTCTACTCTGTCCTGTAGGGTCACTATGAGTTGGAATCGACTCCATGGCAACAGGTTTGGGTTTTTTGGTTTTTGTTTTCCTTGCTGTAACACCCACTTCAGGGGCCTTCTCAATTAGATGTTCAGACTCATAAGACTTGAATAGGCCACACTTGACCCACTTAGCTCTCTGAAATTTTTTATCCAAGTTGTATACACTCATAATTTAAAAAAAAATCACATGCTAGTAGGGCAGCATCACGCTTGCTGCTCCAACAGGAGGAGTCTGCGAGGCATTGACACAACAGACAAAGGCTAGGCTTATTTTACTCCACCAAAGTGACAACTCAGATGCAACAGAAAGAGACCTACACAGTGGGTGTGGTAGTCTCCCTGATTTAGAAGCCCCATGCCCAAATAGAAATCAATACCTTTTGGGCACACCTTCCAAGTGCCTGCAAAGGACATGTCCTCTTAAAAGGGTCACCACACTCTGGAAAGCCCAATGTAATAATTTCCCACCAGTTATTCTCCTAGTCCAGATGCATGTACCAGTCAGAGGTCATTATTATATAAGCAATGTTGCCTGAGAATGCAGCTGATAGTTTGCTTTTATCAGGCCTCTAGGCAACAGAGCCAGAAAGTTAATCCAAGTTTGTTGTTGTAGTGTGCCATCAAGTCAATTCCAACTCATAGCGACCCTTTAGGACATAGTAGAACAGTCCCAAAGGGTTTCCAAGTCTGTACTTTTTTTTTTTAAATTGTGCTTTAGGTGAAAGTTTACAGCTCAAGTAAATTTCTCATGCAAAAATTTACACACATATTGTTGTGTGACATCAGTTGCAATCCCTATAATGTGACAGTACACTTCCCCTTTCTACCCTGGGTTTCTTGTGTCCATTCAACTAGTTCTTCTCCGTTCCTGACTTCTCATCCTGTCTTGGAAAAGGAGCCTCCCATCTGGTCTCCTGTATCTGCTTGAACTAAGATGCACGCTCCTCACGAGTATTATTTTATGTTTTATAGTCCAGTCTAATCTTTGTCTGAAGAGTGGGCTTCGGGAATGGTTTTAGTTCTAGGTTAACAGAGCATCCGGGGGCCATGGCTTTGGTGGTTCCTCCAGTCTCAGTCAGACCATTAAGTCTGGTCTTTGTATGTGAATTTGAATTCTGCTCCACACTTTTCTCCTGCTCCATCAGGGACTTTCTGTTGTGTTCCCTGTCCAGGCAGTCATTGATGGTAGCCGGGCACCATTTAGTTCTAGTATCAGGCTGATGGAGTCTCTGGTTTATGTGGCCCTCTTGTCTCTTGGTCTAATATTTTTCTTGTTTCTTTGGTGTTCTTCATTCTCCTCTGTTCCAGGTGGGTTGGGACCAACTGATGCATCTTAGATGGCCATTCGCAAGCTTTTAAGACCCCAGACACTGCTCACCAAAGTGGGATGCAGAACATTTTTTTAATAAACTTTGTTATGCCAATTGACCTAGATGTCTCCCAAAACCATGGTCCCCAGACCCCAGCCCCAGCTACACTGTCCCTCAAAGTGTTTGGTTGTGTTCAGGGAATTATTAGCCTTTGCTTTAGTCCAGTTGTGTTGACCTCCCCTGTATTGTGTGTTGTCCTTCCCTTCACCTAAGATGACTCTTGTCTACTATCTAGTTAGTGCATTCCCCTTTCCCTCCCTCACCACCCTCATAACCATCAAATAATGTTTTCTTCTGTGTTTAAACCTTTTCTTGAGTTCTTATAATAGTGGTCTCATACAAATATTTGTCTTTTTGCAACTGACTAATTTCACTCAGCATAATGCCCTCCAGATTCATTCATGTTGTGAGATGTTTCATGGATTCTTCATTATTCTTTACTGTTGCGAAGTATTCCATTGTGTGTATGTACCATAATTTGTTTATCCATTCATCTGTTTATGGGCACCTAGGTTGTTTTTCCATTTTTTTGCTATTGTGAACAGTGCTGCAATGAACATGGATGTGCATATATCTATCCATGTGACGGCTCTTATTTCCCTAGGATATATTCCAAGGAATAGGATTGCTGGATCGTATACTACTTCTATTTTAGCTTTTTAAGGAAGTGCCAAACCGATCTGCAAAGTGGTTGTACCATTCTACATTCCCACCAGTAGTGAATAAGTGTTCCAGTCTCTCCACAACCTCTCCAACATTTATTATTTTGTGTTTTTTGGATTAGTACTAGCCTTTGGGGTGAGATGGTATCTCATTGTAGTTTTGATTTGCGTTTCTCTAATGGCTAATGATTGTGAACATTTCTTCATGTGTCTGTTAGCTGCCTGAATCTCTTCTTTGGTGAAGTGCCTGTTCATATCCTTTGCCCATTTTTTAATTGGGTTATTTGTGTTTTTGTTATTGAGGTTTTGCAGTATCTTGTAGATTTTAGATTAGACCCTGATCGGATGTATCGTAGCCAAAATTTTTCTCCCCAGTCTACAGGTTCTCTTTTTACTCTTTTGGTGAATTTTTTTTTGATGAGCATAAGTGTTTGAATTTTAGGAGCTCCCAGTTGTCTAGTTTCTCTTCTGGTTATTTGTGCATTGTTAGTTATGCCATGAATTAGGGCTCCTAGCATTGTCCCTATTTTTTTCTTCCATTATCTTTATCATTTTAGAATTTATATTTAGGTCTTTGATCTATTTTGAGTTAGTTTTTGTACTTGGTGTGAGGTATGGGTCTTGTTTCATTTTTTTGCAGATGGATATCCAGTTATGCCAGCACCATTTGTTAAAGAGGCTTTTTTCCCCATTTAACAGACTTTGGGCCTTTATCAAATATCAGCTGCTCATAGGTGGATGAATTTATGTCTGGGTTCTCAGTTCTGTTCCACCGGTCTATGCATCTGTTGTTGTACCAATACCAGGATGTTTTGACTACCGTGGCAGTATAATAGGTTCTAAAATCAGGTAGTGTGAGGCCTCCCATTTTGTTCTTCTTCTTCAGTAATGCTTTACTTATCTGGGGCCTCTTCCCTTTCCATATGAAGTTGATGATTTGTCTCTCTATCTGGTTAAAAAAAATGTTGTTGGAATTTGGATCAGGATTGCATTGTATCTATAGATCGCTTTGGGTAGAACTGACATTTTCACAATGTTGAGTCTTCCTATCCATTAGCAACGTATGTTTTTCCACTTATTCAGGTCTCTTTTGGTTTCCTGCAGTAGTGCCTTGTAGTTTTCTTTGTCTAGATATTTTACGTCTCTGGTTAGGTTTATTCCTAAGTGTTTTATCTTCTTGGGTGCAATTGTAAATGGTATTGATTTGATGATTTCCTCTTCGAAGTTCTCTTTGTTGGTGTAGAGGAATCCAACGGATTTTTGTATGTTTATCT